ACATTAGGCAGGACAGGGTCCCCCACACAATTTGTTACCCTTGCTGTCATGGCTAGAGTATAAAGTTTTGGAAATAAGCAAGGGACCCTAAACCTTCAAAGGGTGTCTGGTCTTGTTGGTGAGGGTAAGGTGTAGGAATTGTAGTAAACCAACACCCAACTTATAAACATCAGAAGCATGTCTATTAATACAAAGGGAATAACAAATATGGAAATACAGAAAAAGTGAAGTAAAAAATTATGGAAGAATTAAGGAATTACCTTTTAAAATTTCTTTGAGTTCAGAGAAGGTAGGACTATTAACATGATTAGCTGTGTATGTTTTTTAAAAGAGCACATGTATCTCCTCATAGACCAAGTGTCTGAAAGGATCAGCAGATGTTAAGAGGATCTAGCATGGAAATAGAATTTGCCATATAAATTACCTTACTCCGTTAACTTTGGACAATGCTCCATTGACTATGACTTGCCGTTCTCTACTAGAAAGAGAATTCATGGGACTGAAAAGGAACTCTTATAGGCAAAAGTTAAAGAATGAATCTGTTTTTAATATGACTTGTTAATGTTTTTCTTAAGAATTCTGGATATTCCTTTTATTCCCAATTCCAGATTTTATTTTCTTTCTATAGATTTAAGATTGTGAACTTCTATTTAAAGTCTCATTGTTTGTCCTGATATATAGCCCTAGTGTATAATGGTCCCAACAGACTGAATTTTACAAAGGGGAAGCATCATTACGTGAATGTGCACTGACTATCCCATGCATGCCCAGCGCTATGCTAGAGGCTGTAGAGGATAAAGAAGTGTGTGCTCAATCCAGTGCTGTCCCCTGCCCTGGAAGACAAACAAAGGACTTTCCCCCTCCACTATCTGTTACTCTAATATCTTATCTTAACACATTCTTCGTCTAACACTTAGACCAGGAAGCTTGGGATATGGCTATTTATGAAGAAAGGATTACTTTTGTTTTTTTCCAGGTTTGGGGATCTAGAAGTTTGGAAAACAAGTTTATCCCCAGCTCTAGATAAATTCTCCTGAAGAGGTCAAAACTCTTCTTTGATTTCCCTGCATTGCTTTTGATTGTCCAAGAATATTTAAGTGCAATGCTAGTTGCCAGTTAGACTTCTTTCCCTTCTCCAACCTGTGTATAAGCACCATAGGTTCCACACTAGCTTGATTAATTAACTCAATTAATGTTGACAGCAACTTTGGAAAAAATCAAATCTTCAAATTTTGAATTTGGTGGAATAAAATTTTTCTTTGATCAAAGGGAACATAAATTAATGCTCAATATAACATAGATGCTGGAATCAGACTTCCAGGTTGAAACCCTCGCTTTGCACATACTTGCTCTGTGACCTTGGATGAGTTACTAAGCTATGTTGTGCCTCAATTTATTTGTAAATGTTCATAATAATGACATCTAATCTCACGGGGTTGTTGTGAAGATTAAATGAGTTGATGTTGGCAAAGTGCGTAGAACAGAGTGTGCATAAAAGCACCATATGAGTATATTTTTTTAAATCTTTGCACATTAATTATGATTCTTGGGAAAGGCAGGGGCTAGTGCTGGGGAAGGCAGGGTGTTCATTTGGTTCTGGTGGTTCCTTGTCAATGGCTGTCTGGTTCCTAATAAGGTTTTCATTTTACTGTGGGTTATGATGTTTTCCTCCTTGGTTTTTATTTGCAGGAGAGTTATGAAAATACTTGTTTGAAAAATTAGCTTTCTGTTAAAGCAGGATTGATTGAGTCTGAGTGTTTAGAGATAATGTATTTAAAAAAGTTTTAAATTTTACTCTTTAAAATATTTATCCTTTAAACTTAGTGGTTGACTCCAGTGTACTAACTTATTTTATTTTTTTCATTCAAATTATTAAACAATAAAGTGTAGATAATATCTAGTGACCTTTGGGGAGGTAGTGAGTGAAGGCTACTTAAAACACTCAGAAAATGCTTATTCACACGCACGCACGCACGCACGCACGCACACACGCCCACGCACACCCTTTAAGTTGATTCTGACTCGTAGTAGACCCATGAATCAAGGCACCTGCAATTGTTGTCAGACTCAATCTATGCCTTTTCACCAGCTGTTTGTTTTTAAACAGCACATACTCCCTTTATAACAGAATGAACGACAGGATTCTGACACCAGAGGCGCATGGAGGCCACCCAGCAATGATAAAGTATCCGTTTGTTTTTTCTGGGGAGAAATTTCCAAACAACCATCCTTTGGGAGTTATAACAGGCTTGGAGGTACTATTGAAAAGGTGAATTTGACAAATGAATTATGGTAGATCTATTGATAAATTGGATAAATTTGGTTTGATATATTACTTTAGATAACTGATTTGGGAAATCAATTGTGAAAAATACTAATTATAAAGAGTTACTTATTTGCAAAATTTCCCTTATTGATTTCTTTTTTTTTTTTTTATGTGATTTTAAATAATTGACTTTGAAGTGTTTTAAAAAATGACTTTTGGGTATCTATTTTATGTTTTTTTCATGATGTATTGAACGTCACATTTTAGCAAAAACAATCACAACCTCAAAATTTGACTTGTAATAGAAGTTACTTAAGAAACAACATTAATTACAGATATTTTCAAAAGAGACAATATATTGTTCTGAGAATTTTCTTCTGTATACTCCCTTTCTAAATTTATGCTATTCTTTTTCCCATAATAATGTGAAGCTATTTGTAGGTGAACTGACCTTTAGATTGTTATAAGTTTTCAATCAGAAGTTTTTAGATACTAAAGGAGACATATGTACTGAATTTACAAATGTATTACATTGGATTACTAGCAATAGACCTAATTGATAAAAGTGATTTAACATATGTTGTGTTAATAGCTAAACCTCCAAAGCCCCTAATCTCCCGTGGAAATATTGCTTTGTAGAATAAAATCCAATGAGAAGTTCTGGGATTCCAGAGTGAATTTGTACATTCCTGAGGGGCATTTTTGCAAGGGAGGTTGTTGTGTTTTAAAGGTAGTTGATAAGAGACCTGCACCACCAACCCCAGACCTGCACCACCAACCACCATCATGCATTAGTCTATAGAAGGTATTTGGGTGTACGTACTCCTGTACCACTCGGTACCACCATTTAGCCAAGGGAAGTTTCTGACCATTTGCAGCATACATTATAAATCAGGATGTCACTACCAGACAATCAGATTTGAACATTCCGTGAACAAAGTAGCCTATATCCCCTAGGAATAGATCACTTAACTCTGTTTATGTCATGCTGTTGATATGCCTGCATTTACACAAGTCAGGATAGCACATTGTTTATTTATTTTAGGAGTAGGTAATTGATCTGTATATTTACCTTATTTTGAGTTAACTAGCCAAAAATTGAAATGAGTAATTTAACATGATTGCTTAAATACATTGGGAAAATAGTTATTCTTCCAACCCTGAAAATTACTCCTCTACCACCTTGGGTTTTGTGAAAGACTAATTTTGAGTCTTCTCCAAGTTGTGCTGGTGTTGGCTGCTCTCAAATTTTCTCAAATTTTCTTATTTGGCACATAACGCTGGGGGAGGTCACTGGCCAGATATTTAGGGAAGCTCAGAGGATTTCCAACTGCCAACTTAGTCCCCTAGGGAAACCCAAGGAAATTGCTGGATATATTTGTTGAATGAAATGAACTTGTTTAAGTTAGATTCTAGCATCACCAGGACGACTTGATGATGTGGCAACCTTTGGTGCCAAGTTTGTGCACTCTAGCTGGTTACAGGAGATTTTTTTTTCCTGTTTTTTATTATTTGCACAGATGAGCTTACAGATCTGGCATCTTACAAATTATTATTTTTTAAAGCCAAAGTATTAGCCCAAATCTGGGAATGAAGGGCTATAACTTGATATGTATGATTTAATAATAAAAGCCACTTAAAAAAATATAGAGTGGGGAAGTAGAAAAAAGCACAGTCAAGGAAATGAAGTTACTCATGATGTTTTCACTTAAAGACAATCACTGTTAACATTCTGTTCTTTTTCTGTGTGTGTGTTTTTTTTTCCCTTCATATATGACATTATAGGTAAAATTTTGTCTCCTTATCTTCATTATATTATGTTATAAATATTTCTCCAAAACATTTGGAAAGTCTTTGTAACTATTTCTAATATGTTGATAAATATAACAAAATATAATTATTTTCCTATTATTGGATAATTAGGGGGTTTGCAATTTCCATTATTATAAATAATGTTGTGATGAAAATCTTTATACATACATCTTTGACTAGTTCACTGATTAGTTCCTTAGAAAAAAATAACTAGAAATAAAAACACTGAGTTGACCCATCTGCACATGGGAACCTGCTTAGTTCCTGATCCCCCATCACCATGTCACCTTCCCCAACCAAGGCCACTTCTCTCAGCCACTCAGAGTGTAACTGATTCAAGAGCTGTAAGTCAAATCATAAACCTTCGTAATCATGGAAATCTCTCTCCTTGGCACAAACATCTGAATAAATAAATATTTTAAAAAGCAAGGTAAGGAGCACTGGTGGTGCAATGGTTAAGCACTCAGCTGCTAACCGAAAGTTGGTGGTTCAAACCCACCCACTGTCTCCTTAGGAGAAAGTCTTGGCAATCTGCTTCTGTAAAGATTATAGCCAAGAAAACCTTATGGGGGGCAGTTCTCTGTCACATGGGGTCACTATGAGTCAAAATTAACTGGACAGCTCCTAACAACACAACAACAAAAGCAGGTTGCATATTGTCAGGTTGTTTCCAGATTTTCAGATGGTTACATCAATGTACACTGTTATCAGCTATGTATGAAAATGACCTTCTTACTGCTGACCCCCAAACAGAGAATATTGACTTTATAAAAATGTTTTTCTAATTTTGTAACATTTAACATTCCTTCAATTAATAATTAATTGGATGGTTTCGTGTTCCTCATAAGTTTGTATTTCTTCTTCAGTGAAAGTCTGTATAGCGTAAGTTTTTACTGTTTTCCTGTTGCTTGTTGTCTTGCAGAATGTGACAGTCAACACTTCCGCTGTGGAAATGGGCGTTGTATACCTGTAACCTGGAGGTGTGATAGGACCGGAGACTGTATCGATAACACAGATGAAATTGGCTGCCGTAAGTGGGGAGGGGCCAGGACAAAAACTGAGAAGAGCTTCACAGTGGTTTCTTCTGTAACAGAGAAAGAGCTGTGCCTTTAGTGATAGAGCCAGGACTGGGCCCAAGACTTTTGAGGTCTCTATGGTTGAATAAAGAACCGAGGGTATTAATAGTTATGTTTTTCCCTTTTTAGGTAGAGATTCAGTTCACATTCGTTTCTGTCTTGCCTTTATCCCATGACCATGAACTGGATATGGAAACAAATTTGGGGAAGGTTATCTAAGCCTGTAAGCAACTGTATCTGTTTAAGTCACCCTGGAAATTTAGTGCACTAAGAGGAACAAACAAAAATAATGATATCCAAACTACTGTGGTTTGTAACTAAAGAAGGAATCTATTTTTATATAAAGAATGCAGTGCAACTTGTGTGGGTTATCATAAAGAGATCACAGAATTGGCCAGTGTGGCTTTATGTTTAAAAAAAATTTCTAGTTAAAAAGTATGATAGTATAGTAACTCAGGAGGCTTGGTGGTACAGTGGTTAAGAGCTCAGCTGCTAACCAAAAGGTTGACGGTTTGACTGCACCAGCCGCTGCTTGGAAACCCTATGGGGTAGCTCCTACTCTGTTCTATAGGGTTGCTATAAGTCGACGGCAACGGGTTTGGTTTCAGTTACAGGTATAGTAACTCAACATTTAACGAATTATAAAATTACTTTAACATATATTTCTTAATTTCATTCTCTGAACAATATTCTGAGTTAGGTTTCAGATTAGTAAACAGACTTGGAGAAGTCATTTGCTAAAGGCCTCACAATTGATGAGTGACATACACAAAGCCCAACCCTTGAGTTTTCCCAGCTTGCCATAGTTTCTCAGTCACACTACTGCAATTTTAAGCATTTTGATAGTTAAAGGGCCCAGGGCTAGCATCCACAAATCAGGAAATGAGCTGAAAAATTGTTGTCCATCTTATGGTACAAACAGAAGAGGCAAAATTTGGTGTGCTGTTTGGGGTGACAAAGAGTTTGAAAATGGGAGGAATGAAAATAGGGGGAATAGGTCCTAACAATGCTTCTCAAACTTTCATGCACAAATGGATTACGTGGGGGAGCTTGTTAAAATGTAGATTTGGTTTGGTATGTTTGATGTGAAACCTGAGATTCTGTATTTTTACAAGCTCCCAGGTGATGCTGCTGGTCTGTAGATCACATTTTGTGGGGACATGATCTTCAGAAAGACAAGAACAGTGTATTCTTGGATAAAGAAATAAATGACTGATTATACCAACAACTCTTCAGAGATTGTTATTGCATTTCAGTGTCCCATAACAATAACCATAATATCAACAACAGTAGTGACAGCAACTAACATTACGTGACACTAACTTAATTTTTACGACAAACTATAAGATAGGCGTAGTCCCCATTTTATGAGGCATACATTGAGTCTCAGGAAACTGGATCTTTTCCAAATCTCATGAGCTTTCCAATTCATCATGATGCTTCGTTATTAGTTATTGCAAAACTTTTCAAATAATAATAACTCATGGTTAATTTTAAATAAATTTTAAGTAACTTTAAAGTTTTAATTTAATATTTTTGTCATAAATTTGTGGGTATGTGTGTTTTAGCTGTTCGTTTTATTCTCTGTTTTTATATTACTTTGGGTTTTCATTTTGTTGTAATGCCATTGCTCAGATTATTTGACAGTGAATTCTGATTAAAGTCCACAGACTCTGGTATGAGGGCTATTTACTATTTGCCTTCAAATATATTGAGCAGGAGTTGATACATATGTTTGAAAATAAGCGTTGCTTGCTGGTGTAGTGGGCTGGATGTTTGCCATAATGAGTCCTTTTCTGGTTTGTTTTAGCTCACCAACCTTGCCAGACAGGCCATTTCCAGTGTAATACTAGTGGGGCATGCATCCCTCAGTCCTGGGTGTGTGACGAGGAGATGGACTGTGAAGATGGCTCAGATGAACATCAGCAGTGCCGTAAGCGTTTCTAGAAGAATCTTGTTTTGTCCCTTTGGATACTTAAAGTCTGACCTGTCATCAACATAAAACGCAATGCTGTGATTACTTATACATGCTGTGCTGGTCCTTAAAAGACAAGGGAATTGATGCAAGTAATCATAGTGAGTGAATGGATGATGCTGAGAATGTGAATGTGTTGAAGAATTATGAATATATCCCAGAAATTTCAAAATAGGATATGCTTTTAGTATTTTAATTTGGATTATATTATACTCAAGAAAGAAACAATACATTACAGGTAGGGTTCTTCATTTGTGTGGTTGGCAGTTGGATAAGTTCTTTTGCTCCTGTAGTACACTCTGCATTCAAATCTGCCACCCTTCCACCCCAGGACATTAAACCCTCTCCTTTTGGATTGAATAGTGGTAGGAGGTTGTAGGTAGGTCTGTTGGAGGGATTCTTTGTAGCTAGTTCAGTGACTGCTGTTGCAGCCACCATCAGATGAGCTGCAACAAGAAAGAACGTAACAGCAATGAAAAGGACCTTGACAACTGCTGCATTCCTGGACGTTGAGGGAGTTCAGAGCAGTAACCTGAAAGAACCCCTTAAATTCTAATTTCTTTGGGATCAAACAAGAAAAGAGTGTTTTAATGGATTTGAAAATAAGTTTGGATGAGCGTAATCTTGGGTACCTGTAAGATGGCACCCTGTGAGAAAGATGTTTATTATGTGTATCATTCCATTGCTTTCTCCATTAAAGATATCTGTATAATTTAAAATTATTCTTGTATCAGTGCAAATGTTTTTGACTGCAAGGAAGCAAAACCAATACAAAATGGTTAAACAAAAAGGGGGAATTATTATCTCATGTAATAAGATTAAATGTAGAGTTGTTTCAGGATTAATTAATTGTTGGCTGAATACAATAACATTATCCAAGTTCTCTCCATTTTTTCTGCTCTGTCATCTTTATCCAACTGGCTTTTCATGGTTACATGAAAGTTGCAGATGTCCCAAATTTTACATCCCTATGATGCAACTGTCAACATCTACAAGAGAGAATATCAGCATTATTTGATTATTTCTTTATAAGACCAAACTAAACTTTTAGCAAGTCTAGATTCAACTGGGATGGAAGTTGGGTAGAAGATATCAGGCTGCAAGGAGTCACCTCAGGCTCTTGACCAGATTGTGCTCTGAAAGAGTTCAGGTCTAATCCCTGTGTGGGATTCACTTTTGAACCTTACATATTCTGCTTCATTAAATGTACATCCCACAAATCTTGGACATTTAGAATCATTCTGTGCCAGTTTAGATCATTCTAAATGTCCAGGATCCGGCTGGCATTTTTGCATAGTCGTTGTCCTCAAAGATCGAAGAAGAAACGTATGTTTTGAGGGTTCCTTCATATGGGAATGTGTTTAGTCTTTAGATAACTAGTGATGGAGATTCCTTGGCCTTCAATAGGTCCTGGATGCATTTCTAAAAGATTGGAATTTAGCCCAGGAATTTAGTCCAGCTTGAGTGTGAATTGTTTTCAGTTGGACCATTAGATGCCAAGGATCTTTTGAAGAAGATGATAGAGATTCTTAAAATTCCCATAAGCATGACTTTGTTTTAAATCTAGAATAAAGACTATAATTAAACAGCCTGTTAGGGCACATCAGTGCAAAGGGGTTAAGGAGAAACCAGCAAACTATGTAGGGCCATGGAGGGTGATAGTGGTACAAAATGGCAGTCCCAAGGAAGGCATGGACAAGGCTTGGACAAATCAAACAGGAGTATGGCATATCCAGACTAGGCCCAGTTATATGTCAGGATTTGAGGTGGGGGATTTGAGGGGGGGACCAGATCTGAGAGTGGGAGATGGGGGATTGTAGTTCAGAAGTACTGAGGGGAGGAAGGAAAAGAGACAGGCATAGTAAGGAGCAGGATGAAATCCTTATTTCTAGGAAATTCATGTGGAGAAACAAGGTCCTGCAGGCTCCTTGTGGATCTAGGGATATGATATACTCTGACTGGGCTGAATATATCACATTGCAGGGCATCCATAAGGTCCCAGGGAAAGATTGGGTGACCTGAGGATAGTTGGTATGCAGTCAGAGCAGGATGGGGCTAAATTGTGAATCTCTGGAGGGCAATGACTATGCTTTATTCAGCTTTGTATCCCCAAGGCTTGGCATGATGTGCCATTTTGGTTCATTTTCCCTTGCTCCCCACAAAGAGTAGGATGAACTCTGAGCTGTCGATTGTGATGCAATGTGTGACTGATGACCCCACGCTAATAATAATATTTTACAGAGGGTATGGGAACTACTAAGGACAACTGCTTGGGGAAGGGACTGGAGATAAGTTTATAGCAGTTATTTATAAGAAATGGTACATACCATTTTAAATGAGTATGGATTTCATAAGGTAATTCTTGCATTTTTTTAGCTGTCCCCTAACCACAGACAAAATATGCCACCACTATGCCCTGGTGTTTATTGGTTAAGTGGTTGGCTGCTAACTGAAATGTTGGCGGTTCGAACCCATCAGCTGCTCTGTGGGAGAAAGTCAGCTTCCATAAAGATTTACAGCCTTGGAAGCCCTATGGGGCAGTTCTACTCTGTCCTATAGGGACTGTCCTGTTGGCGATGGGTTATGCTAATTGAGGTCACCATAGAACTCCTGATTGCCAAATCCAGTGGGCACTTTTTCTTCCTCATATGTTGGATAGACTTTTCTATTGCACTTGACTCTGGTGACCACTCTCTTCCTCTTGACACTACTCCTTTAGCTGCCATGACTCCTCATTCTCCTGGTTCTCTTTACTGCTTTGATCGTTTTATTTTGGTTTCCTCTTCTGCTCAGTCCTTAGGTATTGGTGTTACTCAGAGCCCTGTCCTTAGCAGCTCTCATCACTCTGTACATTTTCTCCAGGATAATCTTAGCCATTCTTTTAATTTCACTGACCCCTTATGTGTCTGTGATCCCCAGTCTATGCCTAAGTCCCAGATTTCTCACCGTACCTCGGTCGTGCATATTCAGTTGCTTGCTGTACATCCCCAAGGTGCCTAAAACTCAAGGTGTCCCCACTGGAACTAATAATCTTCCCCCTAAACTTGCTTTTCCGTCTATATTTGTTGGTGTATATATTTTAGCTCTGCCACTGGGAATAAAATTTAACCCACGTAAGGTACTGGCAGAAACTATAAAATTAGTATTAGAAATAGGCGGATTGAGGCTGTTTTCCTTGTTAATCTGTAATCTCATGAAATATATTTCATAATGAAAGCATTTTATATTTCCATTGTTGGGCATACTTTGTGGCATTTAATAGGCCTTCTGTAGATGTTTGTGGAATAAAGAAACAAATGAATTCCAGCATTGGATCGGTTGAGGGAAAAAATGTAATTTTAATTTGTCATTCTCTATGTTTGAGTGAGCTTTTAATTGCTCCCTAGTAAGCCCATTGAAAACTTAAGCACAAAATACAGACTGGTTTAGGCTTGAGTTTAAGAAGGCCAAGGTAATTAAAATAATACTGGCACCTGTCCCACTGTCTTTTTTATACTTTGTTTATGAGTCCTCTTGACTTTCAGAAATAAAAGTAAACTCTTTATTTTTATGTTTAAATTTATGTGTGAATTGGAAATATATACTTAAATTATATGGGAATTTAATGGGGAAGTATTAATCTTCAGATAAAATTGTGTCTCTGCCACAGGCAGAATTCAGACAAATGTCTTCTCAAAAAAGTCTATCTATTCTGCCTTTATTAGTAGAAGTAAAATTTAACTCATATTATAATCTAAGATAATATAAAAACTGACCTGTTGGAACAATTTTGTTTGCTGTTCAAGAATGACATGACGGACGCATTCATAATAAAATCATTTTATTAGTTAAACAGAAAGAAGGGAAAAGGTGATCAATTAACATGGAAAAGAGCGGTAATTATGGTTCACTTTTTTATATCTTATTTATGACATGGTAATCTTTATATGTTTGAATTTTCAAGTATGAACTCTAAAATGGCCATTGTCCACTTGTCTTTTTGAAAGGTTTTTCTTGTTTTGATGGATCATCCCTTAACAGATACCTATTTTATCAAAAAATCAAGATATAAGAATCTATGTATCTTTATTACATAGAAGTGTAGGAACCTCTGTGTAATAATGCCTTTTTCTCTACCATTCAGGGGAAAACTTATTTCCTCCATAAGAGGATTATATTCCTTTTTAGAGGATCACATTTTCCCTGGAAGTTTCTCTTTATGTGGACGATTTAAAAATCTCATGATAAGATAATGCTACTAAGTCCTGATAATTTCTGCTCAGACTTACAGAATAGTTTTCACATCATTTTTGCAGGGATCAATTCTTTTGGTTTTATCCATTTCACCGAGAGGCAAACTTGATGTTTATAAAATTGACACATAGTCAATGTGGAAAGTTTGCATAAGAGAAAACTATAAAGAAAAAAAAAATTACCCATAATCCCACCACTCAGGAATAACAACTGTTAACATTAGACACATTTTCTTCTTGTTTAAATTGGGATTTCAATGAGGAGGAAGACCTACCTTCATTGAATACCTATATCTGCAGATCCTTGATTAATGCCTTTATCTGCAAAATTCTTTTTTCCTTCATCCTGACAATCCAGCTTTTCAATCTGTATTGTATTCTTAACACATACTGATAATATGGTGGCCTACACTGACGTCTTTAAGTGTTGATACTATTCTGTGGGCGTTATTATACCTTTGCTCTTGCACCCTAACAACTTTATGTTCAATATATGCTCTACCTGCCCTTGCTTTCAAATATTCCCATTAATATTTGGTAAATGCCAGTATATTGGCTGTGTTTGGCAGTAGTTATAAGTTAAGTGATATTTTTTCTCCTTTGCAGCTGGGAGGACATGCTCAAGCCATCAGATAACATGTTCCGACGGGCAGTGTATCCCAAACGAATACAGGTGCGACCGTGTCAAAGACTGCTCAGACGAAGCTGACGAGAAAGACTGCCGTGAGTTCATTTCAGTCTTTGTACTGTATTTGGTTTCGCTCTTGTCCCTCTGGCATTTTAATCAATTTGTTAGATTTGTTGATGGACAGAAATGCCTACAATATGCCTCTTGTTATTGAAATCTCCTGGCAGATTCTTTTGTGGATTAGGGGTGATGCTCTGATATGAGTCTGTTTTTAACAAAACATACTAAGTATGTCCTGCCTTAGCACATCAAGTTTCTATATTTTTTGAAGTGAGGAACTTTTAATGTTAATATGGAATCCCAAAAGATCACTGAGTACATTGAGTACCAATTCTAGTTTGGTCAATTTTAACTTTTATTACATTACTGTGCTAAGTTTCTAGGTCAAATTTCTCATTGGTTTTTCTACTCTTTGGCACTTAACATTTTCCAGATTACCTTTGGTCTAACTTCCAACTTAAATGTTCTGTTTTGAAGGAGATTATATTGTCTTCAATTTAGGTCTCTCTTCAGTTAGAGATGGTAGTGGGTGTCTTGTGTCTGGATACCACAAATTAGCTGGAGAAATGTTCATAAGCCAAGAAACACTTCTCCTTTCAGTACTTGTGGAGAAATAGCAAACAGTAGATCCTTTATTGAAGAATCTAAAACTTCAAAGGTCAGAAGGGCTTGTTCAGGGTTGCAGAATGAGTGGCAGAGCTAGGGTTCAACATAAGTGATTGGTTTTCACGAAGGACTTTATTTAGAGAAAGGGAAGTCCTACCTTACGCAAGTTTCAGAGAGAACCAGAGGCCTGTGCCACCAGCCGACAGTCTGTGTCTCTATCCCTTATTTACTAGTAGATAAAAGTGAGTGCTTTATTGCAAACACAATGGAACTGAAGGAAATGCTACTTTGGGGAAAATAAAAGGCAGCTGAAACAGACTGTTTGGATTTTTTCCATGTGAACATCCTGCAGCCAAGTCTAAAGTCACTAGTACGACTGCCTCACAACTTTGCCAATGAACCTTCCAGAAAAAAGCTGGCAGGATATGAGTAAACCGCTGTTTAAGTGTTGATACTATTCTGTGGCATTATTATACCTTAGCTCTTGTACACTAACAACCTACGTTCAATATATGCTCTACCTGCCCTTGCTTTCAAATATCGCCATTAATATTTGGTAAATGCCAGGAACAAATGAAGGAAAGGAAGTGAGCTTTATAAAATATCTGGGCAGAAATTTTTTTTTTTTGTACTTTAGATGAAGGTTTACAGAACAAACTAGCTTTTCATTAAACAATTAGTACACATATTGTTTCATGATGTTGGTTGACAACCCCACAACATGTCAACACTCTCCCTTCTCAACCTTGGGTTCCCTATTACCAGCTTTCCTGTCCCCTTTTGCCTTCTAGTCCTTGCTCCCGGGCTGGTGTGCCCCTTTAGTCTCCTTCTGTTTTATGGGCCTGTCTAATCTTTGGCTGAAGGGTGAACCTCAGGAGTGACTTCATTACTGAGCTAAAAGAGTGTCTGTGGGCCATACTTTCTGCGTTTCTCCAGTCTCTGTCAGGCCAGTAAGTCTGGTCTTTTATTGGGAGTTAGAATTTTGTCCTACATTTTTCTCCAGCTCTGTCCAGGACCCTGTATCGTGATCCTTGTCAGAGCAGTCAGTGGTGGTAGCCGGGCACCATCTAGTTGTCCTGAATTCAGTCTGGTGGAGGCCATTGTAGTTGTGGTCCATTAGTCGTTTGGACTAATTTTTCCCTTGTGTCTTTAGTTTTCTTCATTCGCCCTTTCTCCCAAAGGGGTGAAACCAATGGAGTATCTTAGATGGCTGTTTACAGACCCCAGGCACTACTCACCAAGGTAGAATGTAGAACGTTTTCTTTATAAACTATGTTATGCCAATTGAGCTAGATGTTCCCTGAGACCATGGTCCCCACAGCCCTCAGCTGGGCAGAATTTTTTCATCAAGTTTCTTTTCTTTAAATTAATTTTATTTTATTTTTTATTGTACTTTAGATGAAGGTTTACAGAACAAATACTTTTTCCTTAAACAGTTAGTACACATTTTGTTTTATGACAATGGTTAACAACCTCACGACATGTCAACACTGTCCCTTGTCAACCTTGGGTTCCCTATTACCAGCTTTTCTGTCCCCTCTTACCTTCTAGTCCTTGTCCCTGGACTGCTGTTGCCCCATTAGTCTTGATTTGTTTTATGGGGCTGTCTAATCTTTGGCTGAATGGTGAACCTCGGGAGTCACTTCATTACTGAGCTAAAAGGGTATCCGGGGGCCATGCTCTTGGGGTTTCTCCAGTCTCTGTCAGGCCAGTAAGTCTGGTCTTTTTTCATGAGTTAGAATTCTGTTCTACATACTTCTACAGCTCTGTCCAGGACCCTCTGTTGTGATCCCGGTCAGAGCAGTCAATAGTGGTATCCGGGCAGCATCTAGCTATACTGGACTCCGTCTGTGGAGGTCGTGGTAGTTGTGGTCCATTAGTCCTTTGGGCTAATCTTTTCCTTGTATCTTGTTTTCTTCATTCTCCCTTGCTGCCTAAGGGGTGAGACCAGTGGAGTATCTTAGATAGCTGCTCACAGACTTTTAAGATCCCAGACGCTACTCACCAAGGTAGAATGTAGAACATTTTCTTTATAAACTGTGTTATGCCATGATCATCTCAATTGTTGCAGAAGAGGCATTCAACAAAGTCCAACACGCATTCCTGATAAAAACTCTCAATTAAATAGGTATAGAAGGGAAATTTCTCAACATAATAAAGAGCATCTATGCAAAACCAATGGCCAACATCATTCTTAATGGAGAGAGGCTGAAAACATTCCCCTTGAGAACAGGAACAAGACAAGGATGCCCTTTATCACCAATCCTATTTTTATGATGCATAGGAATCTTCCTTTGTGGGCAAACTTAGAATCAGCTTATGAATACGACTTTTATTTTTCTATTTCTGAGAAGTAAGTCTTTCTGTAGGAATGGACTCGATGGCAGTGGATTAACGAGTGTAGGAAGGCATTTCAATACATTAGGCACCTAGAAACCACCTAAATATAGTAACGGATGTTGGAAAAGCTCCAAAGAAGGACTTATTTTTTCCTCCCAATTATTTGAAAGGATCAGGAAGCTGACCCCTTAGTGCATAGTCCTGTCTATCAGACCAGACCCCTCGGTTATAGTCCCTACCCTTTCAAGCTTCTAAGATCGAGCTCCAAGACAGAGCACCTTGTGTCCATTCCAGGCATTCCTTTTACAGAACAAAGAGCGATGTGTAAGCCTCCTCCCAGAGAGCCAGGGGGCAGGGAGGTAAGAGAATGCTCAAGATGGCGATGGTGAGGAAGACGAGAGTATTAAGGTCCCAATAAAAAGATTATCCATGAAATAAATCTGGTATACTGTGAACTTTTCATATTACTTGGTCTTTTTGTCTGCTATGTGCCTAAATACATAAGATATTTTTGAGAAATATTTCTGAATATGGAAAAAGCTTTTGAAACAGGTAAAAAGCCATTTTTTTCTTCTCCTTAAGTTATTTTACTATGTAATCTGGCCATCTGTGAAATGGCACCTGATATTAAACAGCTTGTCAATTAAGTTTTTTAAAAAGGAACAGAGAGATTCAAAACCGCAGCCCATTTTACTTCTAATGGGATTAGCATCAAGGAAAAAACGACTCACGCAGAGTTGAAGATAAATATCAGAACAATGCAGCAATTATTGTCACATTCAAGTGACTCAAAAATAGTTAAGTTTTTTTTCATTTACATAAACATATTGTTTTGTTTCATTGAGTACCAGACTAGAATGATTTAGGTATGAGTAAAACTATTGCTAATTTTCATCAGTTTCCAGCACTTCTTTTTTGTTATTTAGGAATGCCAAAGAAAGGGTAAAGTCCCTGTTACAATGAAGGCTTTCTTGCTGATAATCAGCAGCATTTGGTCTGCCTGTTACTGGGGCCGCTTTGTCCCTGAGGTTTTTTTCTGTTGACTTTCTGTTCATTAGGAGTTAAACATTTTCCTTTATATATCTGACAGTTGGAGGGAATAAAGTGGACGGTTAAATTAAAGTCATTCTGTGGACGATGAGGACTTGTGAAGAACATGCTGTTCTTCAAACTCAGTTCCACATTTAAGCTGCCCAATGAGCCTTGCTCTTACTGTCCTCTCTGTACTCAAGGTGAGAAGGAAGAAGGGGAGGGACTCCCCACTGGCCCCATCTTATATGTTACATCACCGATTCCTGCCATCGAGGCAGGATTTAGAACCTTAAACATTAAGGAAAGATAAAAATACGAGCACATTATAAATATTTCCCATATTTAATAAAAACCTTTGATCCTCTTAAGCTGCTGTCCAATTTCTCTGCCCTTTTTCCCTTTAGGTAACAATGTTACCTAAAGAGTTGTTTTTACTGACTCTATTTCTTCTTTCTTTGTTGAACCTACAGAAAACAGTCTTTTATTTCTGCCAATTTCCTGGAAACATTCTTGCCAAAGTCATCAATGACCTCCGTTTGTCTACATCTAATTGTTCTTTCTCATATATCACTGTGTCAAAGAGCTACTTCCCACTGTCACTGTTTGTCATTTTACTCTGCTTTATTCTTTGTTACGTTTTTTCTGCCTGGTATATTTATTTTACTATCTCTCCCCCTCCCCACCCCGCCCATTAGAATGTAAGTTCCAGGAGAGAAGGGATTTTATCTCCAGTACCTATTACACCTGAAGGTGCATAGTAATTATTTGTTGAGTGAAACATTTAAAAAGATCTGTGAGAATTTCTACTTGTAATTTTGTTTACCTCTTTATCCAGTTTTACTGAATCTAGAAAGTAGGATCTCAGTAAGTATGTGTTGGCTAAATAGAATTTTAGGAGCAAGATAGCACTGTGTAGAATAGCTTGTTCCTAGCACACTGCCATTTATCCAGCATTGATTTGCTCAAATTATCTGGAGCCATGTTCTCAGCAGGGGGGCTGTCCCACACCAGTTCTAGTTGTGATTTGAAAGTGCCCTGTGATACCCTTGTGGTGCAG